AATTCAATTTGGAATGTTATTGGAGTTCTATGTTAAGTTGAAATTCTATTTTGGAAACTTATTGGGAGTTGAAAATTGGTATTGGATTTGAAGAAGAGTTCGGGATTAAGAAAACAACTTGGAAGGAAAAAAAAATGGACAAAATACCCAGCGTCGCCGCAGCACCCCTGTTCATTTTTCTACCTCGAGGGCGGGGGGCACCACAATGCCGGCCTTGGTGCTGGGACGCCCGGAGGTGGCGCCACCCGCACCTATTTTGCATTTTTTCACGTTTTCTTTCATTTTTCTTTTTGGACTCGGTTTTTTTGGTATCTTACTTCATCAACAACTCTATTATGAGTGTTTCGACGTCCCCTACATGTTCCCTATAAATATTAGGCTCTTTTATACAATTTATGGTATGAGAATAGTGCGAGAAAAGTGATTACTAGCTTCTAGGATCAACTGCATATTTCTCTATTATTGTTCACGAGTCAATAAATCTCCTAATTCATTTGTCATAATTTTTGTCTTCTTTTATTCTTTTGATTGCGATCATATACTTCATTATTGTGTCATATAACTTCAACATCTCAATCCGATGGTTGGTTTCATATTAAGTGGTATCGAGCGATACGTGATACTTGAATTCACAACAATTGATACTAGAGATTCTGGGTATAATTAATACAACAAGTGGTATCACAAAGATTCTGATATCTTGTTTGTTTCAGAACAAGTGGTACCAGAACCAAGTTCAACAGTTCCGCAAGAGCGCAGGGTTTGATTTGTTCGAGATTTTTGTTCGTGATAGCTTCCATGTAGTATGACATTCTGCTTTTGGATCGAAACACTAGACTTTCGCTATAGTAGGTTAAAATGCGTAAAATACTCGCACAACAGGATTTGGATGATGCTGTTGGAAATTGACAAGATGCCCACAACTCTGACCGCGGAGGAGAAATTACGTAAGGATAAGAAAAAGTTTCTCACATTCATCTTCATCTCTCGAATATCATTCTTCAACACGTTTTGAAGGAGTGTTCAGCAGCTGCTTTAAGGTTGAAGTTGAAGCAATTGTGCATGACTAAAAGTCTGGCATGCAAGTTGCATCTCAAGCAGCGTTTATACTCTCATCGAATAGCAGAAGGAGGATCATTAGAAGATCACCTGACTGTATTTAAAGAGATCTTCGCTGATTTGAAAACTTTGGAAGTAAAGTATGATGAAGAAGATTTGGCCTTGATCCTATTGTGTTCGTTGCCCGCTTCATTTTCTTCATTTAAAGACACGATATTGTATAGTAGTGATACTTTCATCATTCAGGAGGTATATGTTGCTTTGTTCTCAAAAGAGAAGATGAAGCATCTGGTTTCAGAGGTCAAAGATGGAGAAGGCCTTATTGCTCATGGTGGTTCTGGAAAGGACAGATTGAAGTGTAAGTTCTGTTGGAAATTTATTTAATATGCACAGCGGAAAATTAATTATTTTTCAATTCCCACCACGGATCTGCTTTGTGTTTAGATA